GGTAGGAGGAAACCTGTGCTATGTGTTCTAGGTGGGAAAACATGTGAAGCCGATTACTTTCCCTTTGATTCAAATTCCATGTACAGGTGCATAATGATAGATCAGGCCCGTAAATACTGATTCTTGCATAGTGAATTCTTTTCCCTAAATTGCTGTAAACCCCCCCAACTGGAATAAAAAATCAGTATTCTAGAGAATATCTTCATTTACAAATTATGATTATTTTTTGGAGTTTGTTTTAAATATGGAAATAACTAAAGGAAACTAGGCTAAGCAGCCTAACGAGACAGTAGAATGCTCCATAAATATTAATTCATGTTTTTACATGGTGGCTAGACTAAAGTTTTGCTTTTTCCTCTCAGTGACAACCAAAATGATGTAAATGAATGGCTCAAATATCTGTGAAGACAGAAAATTAGAATGTGAAAAAAGTGAAGGTAACAAATTGAGATGCTTAATATATTAGACGTTCTTGCAAAGAAATTCATATTAAAGTTTACTTTTCAGAATGAAAGAATAATAACAACCCCACTACCACCAACACCAAGAACAGCATATAACATTTGTATGGCCCTTCTTGATGTTCCAAGATAATTTAATGTATCATTTGAAGGCTAACCATATGTGACATTTATCTATGAGGCATTCATGTATTAAAGTTTTTTCATTTTCATAGTAAAATTAAAAACAAAATAAGAATGATAATAAGTAAACTTAATTTTATATAGTTCTTCACCATTTTTTAAAAGCACTCAATATCTTATATCTTAGAGTTTGAAACACAGGGAATTATATATAGGCAAGATAATTGAAACTCAAGAAAAATAAATTGAATTACTTATAATTTTTTTTACAAATTTTGTTACAATATACACCCTTTGAAAGAAGGGACTGTCCTCCCAGGATGCAGATAAAATAGTTTACTAAATGTGTATGTGTGGGAGGGGGGTTATTTTATGAAAAAAAATGATTTTTGTTTTTTCTACTACTGACCTTCAACTCATCCTAACAAATAGCTACTATATTATACTATAAACAGGAGGTGGATGCATAAATGAGAAAAAAAGATTCCCTCTCCTAGAATTCTAAGGCAAATGGAAGGTGCGTGGAAGATTTCTAAGATGTAGATTGGAAAATGAAATATATACCATATATATGCTACATATACATATATTCTGAAAGTAAATGAAACTGAGTTTGGTAGACTCCAAGTGTTCTTAAGTGGTAGATATA